GAAGAAATAAACCTGGAGATGGAGAATAAACTCAGCCTCACCGAGTCTACCATCACCGAACCTCGCACAGCACTTCTCGCTACAAACGGTCGAGGTCGCGGTAGAGGAGGCTACCGCGGTCGACCGTCACCTGGACGTGGATACAACAGCGGACGTGGAGAAAGGAACAACGGTCGACCGTCCCAGGGAAACGGTCGACCGTCACGGGATCTGCCAACCTGCCAAATTTGCGAGAAACGAGGTCACTCTGCGTCTGCGTGCTGGTATCGATTTGATGATTCTTATACTGCGAACTCCTCTTCCAGTGCTCCCCGTGCAATGCATGCATCTACGAGTAATCATTCTGGAAACTGGTATCTGGACACTGGTGCCAACACCCATGTCACGTTTGATTATTCTCAGCTACAATCTCCTCATCAATACACCGGTACTGATGCTATTACCGTAGACAATGGTCAATCCCTACCCATCACACACTCTGGCTCAGGTTTTGTCCATACTCCTAATGGTAAATACCACCTTTCTACTCTTCATTATGTCCCTTCCCTTACCTCCAATCTATTGTCTGTCCATCAATTTACCAAAGATAACAACTGCACCCTTGTTTTTAATGCCAATAATTTCCAGATAGTGGACAATCCTACCAACCAGGTGCGGTACAAGGGCCTCTGTGAGCATGGGTTATACACACTTCCTTCCAAACTCCCAACCGTTGCGTATCAAGCTATCCAAGAGTCCACTTGGCATCGTAGACTCGGTCATCCAGCTCCTGCGATTACCAAATCTATTTTGTCTTCCTTAGGTTTTCAGTTTTCAAAGCCGTTATATTGTGAATCATGCTATGTCTCTAAGTCCTGTCGTTTACCTTTTGAATTGTCTGAACATAAGGCCACAGCGCCCTTTCAATTAATACATTTTGATGTTTGGGGTCCCACCTCTGTTCCTTCCTGTAGCGGTTTTCGATTTTATATCTCTTTCGTTGATGATTTCAGCAAATTTACCTGGATTTATCCCCTAAAACATAAATCTGAAGCTTACTCTGTTTTTGTGAATTTTGAAAAAATGATTAAAACTCAGTTTAATTCTCACATCAAAATTTTTCGAAGTGATAATGGCAAAGAATTTGTAAATAACGCTTTTGGCCTTTTCCTTCAAACTTTAG